GTATGGTTTCTTTTTCAAGTTTATTTAGCTCTTTGGGTATGTGGACTCATTTCTCATCACATTTGGAAAAAGATCTCCTTGCATTAAAAAAATGCTCAGTGGTTAAGAACACTGACTGTTCTTGCAGAAGACCCAGGTTGGAATCCCAGCACCCACATGGCAGCTAACAACTGTCCATAACTCCAGTTCCAGGGGATCGAACAGTCTCTTCTGTCCTCAGCGGGCATTGAACAACATGGGTGCACTTACCTACATGCAGGCAATACATGCATACACATAAAATAAAAATATTTTTAAAAATTTGTTTCAGTAACTCCTGATATTCCTATGCATTTGAATGCACCTTTATATATGTGTAAGACTACTTAATACTACCTCACAATTCACACAGACTTCATCTTTTCTGTCTGTGCTTTTATCTCAGGCTGACTGGTCTTCAAGAATGTTCTTCTGGCTCTTAAGTACAGCCAATGAATCTTTCATTTTAGATATTATACTTTTCAAATATAAGTGCAGCATTCTCAAGTCTGTATGACTTCCCTACTTATTTTCCCAGTATAATGTTATCCTTTAATCCCTGAACATATTTCTAGCATCTACTATAAATATCTGACAATTTCATAAACATCACTTGTGGGTCTATTTCTATTAACTGATAATTTTTTCTCGTTTTTGCTCACATTTTCCTGCTTCTAAGTAATATCTGATTGTATACTTAGCACTCTGGACACTACACTGTTGGCAGCCAACTTTCAGAGTGTGGAGTTTTGTTCTGGAAGGCAGTTAGTTTAGTTGAAGTCTAGCTTGGTCTTTTAGAGGTCTGGTGTTGAACTTAGCTAGTGAGATTCTAAAGAAGCCTTGACTGCAGGACAGCAGTAACCTACCTTTAACCTACTCTGAAACCTTGGAATTTCTGAGGTTTCTAAAGCATTGTCCAAGCTCTAGTTGTCTTTCAGTTTATACTTTTCAGAAGTCATTCTTTTCCTTTGTATTTCTTTTCCTTGTCTTACAAACTTGTTTTAGTTTTGTTTATACAGGTATTTGTTTATACAGACAGTGAAGACAGTGCTAGTTACAAGGAAAACACATTCCATTTCCCTCATTACAAAAAGAAAACAATTCTTTTATTAAGTGTATACTTGTAACATATATAAGAAAATTTTTGAATTAAAAAAAGCACTTAAGTCATACACACTTTCTTATCCTCATTTTAGGAATATCTATATTCCCTTCACTTCTTAAGTTACTTGTGGAAAGCACACTAATTTAATAAGATTTACTGATAACAGTTTATATACACAGAGTTGTGGTTTCTGTAGTCCAGTCTATTTCTGTAACAGTACAAGGTGAATGCTAGAGTCTGGAACAAAGAGCACTGTCTTTGTAATTTATCCAAATGAAGAAAGGAAAAACTCTTAAAACGATTTTATTTTTCTATTTCTCCCTCCATTTCTAGACAGCCTTGTTTCCTGGCCACTTAAATTTGTTCAATAGTCTTTCTTCAAGACTGAGTGTCCAATCAAATTCTCCTCTGAAGGTCAGCCCAACTATAAGACAAGAAGGCCTCAGAGCCTAGAGACAAGCAGAGCTCATGGCAGATAATACAGCAAGCAGGGCATGGGAAGGAAGCTTTCCAGTTGATGCAGGGATGTGCAGAATGAATGACAGGAATTAGACATAAAATTACGTATAGTTATTTTTGCCTAAAAAGGATTATCATTTTGGAAAGACTCAAAAATTAACTAGATAAAGGTCAGCTCTTACTACTTCAAGTGCTGTATACACATGTAACAAATAAAAGGAGGGAAATAGTTTTTGAAGAAAAAGAAAATGCTATCAACTAGGAGACAGAGACAGCTCAGCAGTTAAGAGCACAGATTACTCTTGCTAAGGAAGTGGGTTTGGTTTCGAGACCCTAAATAGTGGCTAACAAACCATCTGTAACTCCAGTTCCAGGGGATCTGACGCCCTCTTCTGGCATCTGTGGGCACTGCACATGTGGTGCACATATATACAGGCAGGCAAAACACTCAAACACATAAAAGAGTAAAAAAACTCTTTTTATGTGGGCGCTGTGGATCATGCCTTTAATCCCAGCACTCAGGTGACAGAGGCAGAGGCAGAGGCAGAGGCTGGCGCATCTCTTTGAGTTCAAGGCCAGCCTGATCTACATAGAGAGTTCCAAGCCAGCTGGGGCTACAGAGAGATCTTCTCTCAAAAGGACCAAAAAAAAAAAAAAACTTTTATAAAAGAAAAATAAAAGAGAAATGTCATTAACGAAAAACAGATAAAAACCACATAATTACAAAATATATTTTAATGTTGTATGCATAACATGCTCTATGTTTTCAAAGCAACCCTGATTTTTAAAATAAGTGAACAGGGCTAGCAGGGTGGCTCAGCAGGAAGAGGGACTTGCTGCCAAGCTTGACAACCTGAGTTTGATCCCCAAGCCACACACACAGGAGAAGGAGAAAACTGACCCCCACAAGCTGTTCTCTAGATGTGTGCCTCCAGATGTGCACTGTGGCATGTGCACCCACCAATAAATAAGAGTAACAAAAAATTTAATGAGATAAGTTGATAATTTCTGTTTGAAACAAACATTATAGATAATTTTAAGATAGTAATGATATTTTTAAAGTTTTTCTTTGTCTTGGAAACACAACTTGAGCCATGGTGTGATGTTGTGTCTTAATACTTAGGTGCTTAAGTTCATTATATATATTTCACAGGTTGATAAGATACAAAATCACCCAAAACATTAAATTCTGTTGGGGAACCCTGCTGCTAGGGTTGTAGTCCTCCATGTCTGGATAGCTCTAAGGGGCTTGGCGCTATATGGAAGGACTCCCCTTCTCAGCAGGGGGCCTCCTGCTCTCTTCCTGACTTACCTGGAAAGTGCCGCCAAGCACGGATGCCTGACCTTATTTGGAACATGACCTTTGGCATAGTTACCTGGAGTTTTTTCTGTTTTTTCTGTATGATAATCAGGCATTGCCCAGTAATCCACATAGTCGGATGTTAGGAGCCTACTGCCACATGTAAACAAAGCATACTATGAGCACCTATCAGCTGAAGCACTGGCTACTGCCTCCGCACTATATTTTCCCTAACCCCCACTGAATAAATGGAGCTGTTTCACTGAATCTAGAGCTGTTTCACTGAGTCTGGAGCTGTTTGTATCATTGAACCTGCCTCCCCGGAAGGGCTTTCTTCCATCAGTGCTCACTGGCCGTCCTGACCCAGCTAGTCACTTCTGCTCCCTTTGTCCTCCTGAAACGGTGGCCAACGACCCACGAGGAGAGGGAGCGACTCCACAAAATTCCTTTCTTTTTACTACTCATCTAATAAGGGAATTTCTTGATCTGTAAGAGAAAGATGGTCCATCCCATTCCAACCAATTCTAATATATATTAGGCCTTTCTTCATGTCAAATCAAAAGCAGTCTCACTACTGTACTGTAGTCCTAACCTCCTTAAACTAGAAAATCAGTGTGTTCATCTGTGACAGGATATCCTTTCTGATGTTGGCAGTGTTTTCTTCAAGTTCAGTAGCTCTTTTCTGACTTCTTAATAAAAGCATGTGTTTGTAAGTGTAACTGAAATCAGTCTATAAAAGTTTCACAAAGACAGAACACTGTTTAAACCTAAACCACCACCCTGGTATATTGAGAGCACTTAGTTCACAGCTAATAGACTAGAAATGGGAAAAATATATAGTCAGCATTGCCTACTTTCCTACTTGTAATTTTGTTAATATTTTTCTTAAAAATCAAGGTTATTAAGTTATATAATCTCAGTTATTTGTAACTATAATATTATAATAGAATATTAGTTGACTCTAAAAATAGCTTCTTGTATTGAATACATTGGCAATAAATATTGACAGTTTGACACAATTTTTCAGCTTTACTGTAGCAAGAAAGCAATACATTCACTATGCTGCATAATTTGAACCTGGAACCTTTCTAAAGTCGGCAGGATGCTTTTTCACAAGCTTTCTCTTCATGTTGGGCAGCAGCAGCAGCAGCAACCACACCTCTCAGCCAAATGGCAGTGTGGGGTACAACTGGTGACACACCTGTGCTGTGCTCTAAGCTATGATGTTTAGAAGTTCACGTTCATTAGGGCTTTTTTATTTATATTTATACTTGAGATGGGTTTACTATATGGGTTTATTCCTAAATCAAGCTTATATCTTGTATCTTTGAAAAACCAGTAAGATCCACCGTAGTCCATAATCCACACTGCACAGCAAGTATATGAGTGATCTTCCATGACATCAACATTATCCTGAAGGAATCTGAGATTATGCCCACTTAACTCCAATTGTAGTCAAAGTAATTTAAAATCATTAACAAATTAAGACTGTACACCAATTAGTGATTTTTGGAGAGATACACAGGCACAGAATAAGTATGGACAAGGTCGGGTTAATTCCTGGGGATACTGAGCCAAGGGAAAAAAAGGCTAAAAACTATAGTGCTTCAAAGGCAAATGTCTTAGAAATAATTTCTTTTGAAGAAAAATATGATGTTTAAAACTATGTGCATTGTGCTGGATAGCTTGGATAGCTTTAGTGTCAACTTGACACACCTGGGTTGAGGGAGCCTCAATTGGAGAATTGCCTCTATTGGACTGGCCTGTGGCCATGTCTGAGGGGCATCTTCTTGATGAGTGATGTGGGAGGGCCCAGCCCAGTGTGGGTGGTACCACCCCTGGGCAGGTGGGCCTGTGTTGCATAAGAAAGCAGGCTGAGCAGGGACCAGGGGAGCAAGCCAGTAAGCAGCGTTCCTCCATGGCCTCCATGACTCCTGCCTCCAGGTTCCTGCCCTGAGTTCCTACCTTGGGCTCCCTGATGAACTGTGACCTGGGAGATGTAAGCTAAATAAACCCTTTCCTCCCCCAAGTTGGTATTGGTCAGAGTATTTTGTCACAGCAATGAAGAAACAGACTAAGACATGCATCTTTCCTAAATCCTTAGGGGCAGACACTTACTTCACTGTGGCACTTAGAAGAAAGTTCAGTTGTGGCATTAACAGGTTGTCTGGGGCTGAAAGATAACGATCAAACTGAACCTGAAAGAAAATGCAGACAGAGTACATGGATCTACTCAAAACATTTCAAACACACTTTTGTGTGATGATCAAATCTTAGGAAAATCCCCCAATACAACTACCTAAGATTGTCTGCTCGTATGAGCATTTCTTAAACTTTCTAAGTAAAACACCCTAAAACTGCTATAGAAACCAAGGCCAAAGGACAGCAAGTTCAAAACTGACCTGGGCTATCACAATGAGACCCTGCCACGAGAACAGATTAAATTAAAAATAGCCATTCGAGATTCATAGAAAAATGTTAGGGTTTTGGTGGTGTTTTTCTTTTTCTTTCTTTCTTTTTTTTTTCATTTTGGTAATGTGCTTAGAAAAGAAAAAGAAAAGAAGCACTCTAAAGTTTGAGAATCCTTAGTATGTGTGCTGGACAGCTTCGCTGTCAACCTGACAGACCTAGGAACCTCAACTGGGGACTTGTCTCTAGTGGATTTGTCTGGGGGCATGTCTGCAAGGAATTTTCTTGACTGTTGAATAATGTGGAAAGGAACAGCCCACTGTGGGTGGTGCCACTCCTGAGCAGGTGGTCCTGGGTTGTATAAGAAAAGCAGGCTAAGCACAGACCAGAAGAGCAAGTCAGTAAGCAGCATTCCTCAGTGGTGTCTACTTCACTTCCTGCCTCCAGGTTCCTGACACAAGTTCCTGCCTGACTTCCTTCAATGATGAACTGTGATCAGGACATGCAAGCCAAATAAATTCTTTCCTCCTCAAGTTGATTTTGGTCAGAGTGTTTTCTCACAGCAACAGAAACCTAACTAAAACAGCCAGTATTAACTTTTTTTTTTTAAGTCCTAATTTCCAAAGCATTTACTTTAATTGCCCTCACTAAGCTGAATCAGAAATAAAGCCTTAAGACTTCAAGTCTCTCTTCCTTGCATCTACTTAGATTTGCAAATCTAATCATTTGTTTATGAAACTGTTCATTCACCCATTATTTCTTGAGTAGATAACATCTGAAAGGTTCTGTATCAGGGAATGGGATGCAACGGAAAGTAAGAGGATGATCTCTAGTTTCATAAAGTTTATGGTCCAGTGAGAGGGATGCTAAACAGTCAACAATGTAAAAAATCACACAATTACAAACTGTACTAAATGTTGTAAAAATCAAGGTGATATAAAGGGTAAAGACGTGCAAAATGAAATCTCCAACATAATCAGACAGCAAGCAGGGAGAGAGCTCAAGGAGAGGAGACCTCATGCATGAAGGCCTCAGGTCAGAAGGAAAGTGGCTAGACATAGAAAGAACAGTCACGTAGGACTTGTGGGCTTTTTAAAGGACCTTAAGAGATTTTTGTTTGTTTTTCTTTGTTTTTTTGGACAGTCTCAGTACAGACTGGCTTTGAACTTATGAATAACCTGTCTACTAAGTGCTGGCATTACAGGCTACAGCATGAAGCTGTGAGGTAAAGCCAAAGCTGCAGTGGAGATGCCAGGATACTAGAGATTCCAGGACCAAGGGACACCTGCTAAGAAGGCTGCAGACATGGGGTGGGGCATACCTAACAGAAAAGTTCTATGTGCTCTAGGCATCAGGGCTAGGGGACTAGGACTCCACAAGCTTTTTGGAGCCTAACTGATTTTATTATAAGCCTCAGATGCTGGGCGGGGAGCTCCAGGATTTGGTGTTTGCCCTCATGGATTTGGGGTTTGTTTTGATCTGATGCCTTTCTATACCCTGATTTTTACCCTAATTCTTTTGGAATAAGAATGTTTAATCTGTACCATTATCTGTTGAAAGTATATAACTTTTTAAAAATTTTATTTTATAGGGGCTCACAGTCAACAGCTTTTGGACTTCGGAAGTATTAGAATTGTTAAAGATTAGTGGGACTTTAAAAGTTGGACTGAATTTTACATAAAGACACACATGAATCGTTAAGGACAAAACGTGGAAGTTTACGACTTAAAAATGATATATTTGGGTGTCAGGTTGACAAGGGATAGACCTGTGATGGCTGATTTCAAGTGTCAACTTGGCAGGGTCTGGAATCACCTGGAAAAGAAGGGATTGTCTAGATTACGGTGGTCTGTGGACATGTCTAAAGGATTCTCTCGATTGGGTTAACTTAGGGGGAAAGACCACCCTGAATGTGGGCAGCATCATTTCATGGGATGGGCCCTGGACTGAATGAAAACAAGAGGGAGCTGAGCACATGCATTCATTGTTTTCTTACACTATGGACGTAAAGTGATCAGCAGCTTCAAGAGCCTGCTGCCTTGATGTTCCCCTATTCCAGCCATGATACCTTAACTGTGAGCCAACATAAGCCCTTTCTCCCTTAAGTTGCATTATTCAGAGTATTTTATCATAGCAACAGGAAAAGAAACTAAGGCAATACTATAAAGGACAGTTCATTCTAGGGAACCATTTATGAAAGTCCAGTTGCTGTGGTGCTAAGTGTCTGAAACATTCAGGACAGATGGTAACTGTAGCACTTGAGCCTATAGGCTCTGGAGGCTGACTGCCTGTGCTGAATGGGATGGTCATGGGATTAAAGAGCTATAGCAATAAGACTACTGTGAAACTTGTAAAGCAGATGATGCTATGAGGAACAGGGTCACATGACTTCATTGTCATGCCATTGGTAGTTACACGTATGTGCAAAGAACAAAGAAATGCTACAAAAAGTGGGGATCATGGGAAAGGATAAGTTCTTGAGTGTGTATGTACACTTTACAGTACTAGAGACTAAATACAGGTCTTCACACATGCAAAGTAAGCAAGCACTTTCTCACTGAACTACAATTGGGATCTCTTCACTTGAAAAGAACACAAGAAACTGAAAGTTTAGTGAGTCTTGTACTGAAGAGTAATATACTATTTTAAAACTGGAATTCAAGGACCATGGCAATGAAAGTTTGTAATACACAGCTTAACTTCATGCTTATCATTCTTATTTCTTCATCAAATCAGAAATGAAACTCTCAAAATAAAGAAATCCTAAATAGGGGCTGGAGAAATGGCTCAGCTGTTAAGAGCACTTGTTGTTCTTACAGAGGAGCCAGGTTCAGTTCCCAGCACCCAGGGCAGCTAACAACTACTGGTAATTTCAGTTCCAGGGGATCTGATGCCTTCTTCTGTCCTCTGAAGATATTGCATAACATGGGTGTGCTTACATATATGCAGGCAAAACACTCATGCATGTAAAAAATTAAAACAGCTCTGGGCCTGGTCCTGCCATCACCTCTCTCCGCTTCCCTGGGCTGCACAACCCACCCGCCTCTTTTCTGGACACTGGAGCTGACCTCTAGGCCTGGAACCACCACTGCTTCCTGATCCCTTGCAACCAGATGAACCCAGTTCCTTCTCACAGTCCCCAGGAGCCCTCTGGGCCTGGTCCCACCCTCACCTCCCTCTGCATCCTTGGGCCTGCACAACCTGCCGGCCTCACTCCTGGGTAAGTCCACTGTGCCCTCCGTGCCTTGACTCCCCCAGCCCCATTCACCCCCTCCCATCTCTCCTCCTAGCCTTGGTGCTGTCCCATTCCTTGTCTTGGCATCCCAGACACCAGGGGAACCATGACTGCTCCCTGATCCTTTGCATCCAGACCAACCCAGTTCCTCCCTGCAGTCCCCAGGAGCCCTCTGGGCCTGGTCCCACCCACACCTCCATCTGCTTCCCTGGGCTGCACAATCTGCCAGCCTCTTTCCTGGACACCAAGGCTGACCTCTCAGCTTCCAGATCCTTTGCACCCAGACCAACCCAGTTCCTCCCTGAAGTCCCCAGGAGCCCTTGGGTCCTCTTCCTGCCCCCATTTCCCTTTGCATCTCTGGGTGGCATGGCCACCAGCTGCCCAAGACCAGCATCCTTCGTGGGCCCTGCTCCCAGGCCAATCCAACCCCCAAATTCCTGAGGACAGCATCTTTCCTGGATGAGTCCAGATCTTAGGAGAAAGCCTGAGAGCATCTGATCTTCATCTGACTGGGCCTCTGTGGGAACTCCTGAAGACAAAAGCAATCTGGCCACTCCAATATAAAATCAAAAGAGAGAACCGGAAGCTTAGACAAACCAGCTTTTCATGCCCAAAAAGTAAACCACAAAGGCACAAAAAGTTTAATTAAAAAGAAGCAAACCTAAACTTGAAGGCTTGAGGCTCACACAAGAATCAGAAACTACAAAAGAAATTCACATGTCATATCCCCACCAAATACCAATAGTCCTCTGGAGGAGTACAATGAGAACCCCCTAGAGATAATGCAGGATATGGAACTCAAAAGAACAATTATAAACATGATAAAAGAATTCACTGAATTTAAAGAACATACAAAGAAATCAAAGAACTGAAGGAAGATAGGGATAAACTTCTGAATGAATTCAGAAAAGAGTTAGAAATATTAAAGAATACTCAGGCTGAAATGAAGAAGGAAGTGAAACACTCAGTAAGTCAAGTAGAAATGACAGGAGAAAGCCTCACCAATAGGATGAATGAAATGGAAAACAAAGTATCAAGACTGCAAGATAAAGTGGATGAACTATACCACTCAAGCAAAGATTATAAAAAATTTAAGAAATCACAAGAATGGAATATGCAGGAATTGTGTGACATCATAAAAAGACCAAACTTATGAATCATAGGCATACAGGAAGGAGAAGAATCCCAAGATAATGGCATGGACCAGATCCTCAACAGAATCATAGAAGAAAATTTCCCAAAATTAAAGAAAGACATGCCCATACAAATACAAGAAGCATATAGAACACCAAACAGACAGGACCAGAAAAGAAACTCTCCATGGCACATCATAGTAAAAACACTAAATGTGCAGAACAAAGAGACAATACTGAAAGCTGCAAAAGAAAAACAAGTCACATATAAAGGAAAACCCATTAGGATTATAGCTGACTTTTCAGTGCACACTATAAAAGCCAGAAGAGCCTGGATCAAAGTATTCTGAGTTTTAAATAACAGATGCCAACCCAGATTACTATACCCAGGCAAAAGGTCTATTATAGTCTAAGGGGAAAG